AGCATGCAAATGGTTGGTGGTGGGGGGTGGGGGTGGCCTTTAAATTTTCTGTTTTGAATCATCACTCAAATTTGAATAACAGGTGGGCGGGGCCAGAATAATGTGCCTGTGAAGATTACTTGTATGCATCTAGTATTTACAATCTTTTTCGCAACTTTGGCAGTGTGTAATATTAGTATCCACTATTGAAACATATAGTATACAATAACAAGATCAAAGAGAAAAATCAAAGAGAATATTAAAATATTATTAAAGCTTACCAACATACAACAGCTGTGTTGGATTCTGCAGCCTTCTAATTTCACACACTGTACATGTAGCTCATAGGTTGCCAGTGATTTCGAAATGTATATTTGCATAAGAGTTATGATGATGGTCAAAAAGCAATTTGATTGGCATACAAAATATTGCAGTAAATAAGTACTGAAAGGAGGGGATTTGTTTGTAGCCTCATACCGGAAACTATAAAACCCCAGACAGGGGCTTTTTGTCATGTTCATTACTGAAGGGTGAAAGAAGCTTCATAAACCAGGAATTTTAATATTGGTGTATGAAAATAACATGTCTTAGTATTAAAATCGGACAGTGGATTAGACATCATTTAAGTCAGGGTTGCCTAAATTTTGATCAGAACACAAAGCAGAAAATAGAGGAGGCATATACACTAACTGTATATAATAATTTATTAATTGTGCTTTAAACACTTTCTCTTATAAAACTGCACAAAAAAAAAAAGAAAAGAAAAGAAAAGGTCCAGGTAATTTTTTTAAGGTAATTTCCTGCCAATACATTATCTGTTTTGTTATGGGAGTTTCCATAAATGGTAAAACTCAATCTGTGGCTAAAAAAAATAATATTAGGATTAGTATTGCTTTCTAATATTTATCCAGATATTAGACTGTAATAAAATCTAGCAGGTTTTGGATTGCAGAATTTAACTTATTTTCCATTTTGAATGAATTCTAGACCTTTATCATTTTACTACACGCTGAACTGAGCATGAAGTTTATCAGTCCCCATATGTTCCTTTCTTTCACATGCCCCCCAGAGAAGGGGCTTCTCTGGAACCTGCAAAGGTCAGATTGGTAATCATTTTCACCCTGAGTTTATCAGCAAACCTTCATAAGATCAACTGCATCCTTCGCATCCCTCTCAAAACAGTCAGGGGGGAAGTCTCTGTCTGGGGGACGGGATTGTCCATACCCACGGGGATCCCAGCCAACTACACTGAAGCGTTCTTTGGCCAGAGACTTAAGCTGAGGACCAAAATCTGTCTTTGTGCTTCCTGTGGTAGAAAATATAGCAGGTTTTCTTTTAGATGCTTAAAGGACTCAATCAAACTGTACTGAACGATGTGCTATTCTTACAACAGATATATTTTGAGTATAGAAAAAGATTTTGATGTCTTCCCATATAGCCAAACTTTTTTTCTACATTAAAAGGAAGCGTGTGCTTATACTTACCCAGAGCGCCAGGAAGCAACAGCACAGCATGTTTTCCTCTGCCTGTCTGCTCGTAGTACAGATCCACTCCATTAACAGGCTTCTTGCCTGAGGCCACTGAAGAGCTGCAGGGAAACACACGAGGATACGGTGGTAGTCAAAATGAGCCGTGGATAGCAGAACAAGGTGGGATAGTTACTTTGAATGTTACAACCAAAGATAACAAAGCCGTCTTTTGTTAGGACAATTACAGCAGTGCGCCAACAACGGTACTTGAATAAAACAAAAGTTGTACATGAACTCATATGAGTTTTGATTATAAGCAGTTCAGAAGCAGCAATTATTCATTTACTGAATAAAACTAACCTACTTGCAAATTACATGATGTTCAGAGATAACAGTGTTTGCAAGAGCTCATAGTTGCTGCTGGTTATTTACCATCACGTGATGGCAGTCATATATTTATATGCGCGACAGTGATATTTCTCCATCCTTTAAAAACAAAACAAAACAAAAACAAAAACAAAACAAAAAACCCCGCAGTAATCTGTTTAAAGGTAATGTTTTGCAGTCTAACACATCTATAGTATCACGATTTACTCCTGCAAAAGCCTCGAGGCAAATACTTTACGCATTAAATGACGATGAGATTATTTTAAATATTATCCGTCTACAAG